ATATTTATTGTTTTTGTTTGCGAAAATACAAAACTAATAAAAATGTTATAAAAAAATAAATAAAAACAATCAACTGGATTTTGTTTCCAAGTTTGAAGACGTTTTGCTTCCCATCCAGGAAGCTTTTTCAATTCAAAATGTTCTACCAGCTGCTGTGGGAGGTTCCATCAGCCCCAAGGGGATTGTTTTTAATATATATATATATATATATATATATATATATATATATATATATATATATATATATATATATATATATATATATATTTTAATTTCTCCAATGAGAGATCAATAAAGTTTAGTGGTTCAGTTCAGTTATAATTATTATTATTAAACAGCAGGCAGGCTTTTTCAATGGTAACCAGTTGAAATGAAGGATTTTTATGACCCCTTCCAGCTGTTAACCTTTGATCCCATTTTTATCACTTTGTTGAAGCCAAACTTCTACTTCTCAGCTGGGAAACTTCCGCCTTTTCTATGTAAAGTATGAAGTACCAGAAAGTAATGACAGCATATTGGAGATATTCCAAAAAAAAAAAGAAAAAAATCAATCAACTGGACTTTGTTTCCAAGTTTAAAGACGTTTTGCATCCCATCCAGGAAGATTTTTCAGTTCAAAATGTCAGAGAGTTCCAGGTTTTATACAGTAGCTCAACAAAACCTTAGTTTGGTTTAGAAAACATGCAAATTGAAACAGACGAAGGGAAATTATTTGATTATGGATTTTTTGAATAACGATGACCTGAACTGGGAATTTTCACCAGCAGATTGGAGATAATACTGAGTTCTGTCTTTCCTGCTCTAAACAGACCCAGGCAGATAAACTGGTCTAACAGATAATGATCAGATTATTAAAACTCCAGATTAATTTAAATAAAAAGGAAAAGATCATCTGTTTGTTTCTGACCTTTTCTCATAGATTACGTCAACATGTTTTGATTCAGAACGTTTCCCCGAAAGTGAAAGTAGAAACTTCTCAAGGTGTGTTTGGTTGTTTTGGAAGCAAATATCAGAAAAATTACAAATATTCATATAAAAAAATGTGTAAGAAACTTAAATATATATATATAAAAAAA